GTAGAGTTGAAACTTCAACCTTTACGAGTTTAAGCAAACCTAGGCGAGATTTAGGCTCAAAAATAACGTTTTCTTTATTTATAATATTATTTCAAAATTTTAATCATTATAAAAATTATTTAATAATTAAAATAATACATATTAAAAATCTAAAATTATAAAATATAATATCTACCTAATAACTTCTACCATTAGTCAATTATGCAATTTTCAAGTTTTCGAAATGCAAAAAATTAGAATATTTTTCATAGTTTCAATTTTCAACTAGACAAGTCTTACTTAGTAGATTTATAGGAACTTCATATATGCTTTTGAAGCTTGTCATAAAACGTATCTTAAGATCATAATTACATAATGTAGATAACAACAAAATTTAAATCTTATCTAACTATTTAGATAAAATTATTTTTAATTTTTGTACAGATAAAACTTGAAAATAAAGTCAAATGATTTTTTTTTTTTTTGTAATGATAATAGGTTAAAGTCAAATATATAAATAAACTATTGGAGCTTGCCTATGTGTCAAGGACCGCAGTTTTACTTAACCCCTTGACACAATCGTAGTCGCAGTTTGCCCAATTTCGACCGCACATTGTAAATATTAGTTCATGTTTGAGTTATAATTTTCTTTTCATTATAATAATTATTTCAGTTGTAAAATAACTCTGATATTTGTAAACGTTTAGTATGATTCCTCGTCATTTAAATATCTATTCCTGTCACTTAGGTTTTTGTTCCGAATGCTATTATAGGGGGAATAAGTCATTCAAAAATCATTCACGCTCACTGGTGTTAGCTCCTACTCTAACAATTGTAATTTTCTACTTTCATCATTTGTAATGTTCAGTTTTCCTTAATCAAAGTTCAATTTACTTTCAGTATATTCAAATTCTCTGTTGTAAGCTTTCTACAAAATTATAATCAAATTTTCTTTCATCTTGACGTGACCAAGAAAAGGCGGAATGTAGTCTAGCGTAGCATACTACTGCCGCACGGTGTCCCTTTCTGTGCCAAGAAGAAAGGCACCCCATGAAAGTTGGTATCAGAGCTGCGACTCACGACCCTCAATAAGAAAGCTATGGATCCAATTACATCTCACTACTAGGTTGTGCTATGTCGTGGACAGTCTCGAGGAAAAAGTCGAGATGGCGGAATCTGAGATTCGTGGATTACACATCCAACTGGATGAAAGCTAAAGGGCTTGCGCAATAATGACTGAAACTGTTACAATCATTCTTGATCTACAGGATAAAATGGAAGCGTTGAGAGCTAAATTACGAGTACCCCAACGTGCGGTGGGCAATGGCAAAGCTCTCGTTCCTGAGTATGCTCCTAGATTCAGAATTCCTGAACCGTGTACCTACGGAGGGGCACGTGATGTAAAAGAATTCGAAAACTTCTTGCTTGACATGGAACAATACTTTATCGCAACTTTTATTGAAAACAAAACAAGAAAGGTAACCATAGCTACTATGTATTTGGGTGGAGATATAAAACTATGGTGGCGAACAAAATATGCTGATATTCAGGCTAACAGGGTTCGAATAGATTCTTGGGATCTTCTCAAGGAAGCGATTAGATCGTAGTTTTTTCTTGGAAAATGATGAGTATCAGGCTCGACGGGCACTGCGAGACCTGGAACATACAAGCTCTATCAAGACGTATGTGAAAGTATTTTCAGGGCATATGCTGAATATTCGAGATATGTCGGAAAATGATAAACTTCACCTTTATGGAAGGATTGAAACCTTGGACACGCACGGAACTTCAAAGACAGAAGGTTACTGATTTGAGCGCAACCATGGGAGCTACCGAATGTTTGAGTGACTACCAAACGAAATCTAGAAAAGATCGACCTTCGGCGAGTAATAAAGCAATTGGAGGTAGTAACAGACCTTACAGACCCAACTCAAACTCAAATGGGGAAGATCTTTACTCTCAAAATAACGGAGGAGCCTATCAAAGCACCTGTGGATTTCAGGGAAATTATCATAATAGCCGTCAAGGAAATTATAACGGTAGCAACAGTACCAACTAAACAAAGGAAAAGCAACTAAGGGCCGAACTGATACCACTCCTAAATTGGTGTGCTTTTTATGCGAAGGACCTCATCGGGTGTCAGAGTGTCCTCAGAAATGGATGGTGAACACATATTGTCAACTAGCAAGTGGCGGGTCAAGTTCAAAGCAAGAGGCCCCACAGGCCAGTTGTCATGGTAAAACCGACTCCGAAGAGGATGAGGATGAAGTTGGGGCATTTTTACATCAGTGCAACACACTATCGCATCGGGTTGCTGAAAAGGGTGATGTCCCCTTCAAAGATGGAAGAAGCGAAAGCTCGTATTTGTAGGGTTAAAGGCTTAATGTACATTGATGTGAAGATCAATGGAAAGCCAATTAAGGCTATGGTGGATACTGGTGCTACCTATGACTACCTTGCATGTACCGAAATAGAGCGACTCGAACTTGTTCTGAAAAAGGGTAGTGGGAAAGTTAAAGCAATCAGCTCTGCTGCTCAACCAATAGCTGGAGTGGCAAAATCAGTGTTATCAGAGTAGGTCCTTTCGAGGGAAGGACAAATTTATCCGTAGTTCAGATGGATGACTTCAAGCTTATTCTGGGATTGAAATTTCTTCGGGATACTAAGATAGCAATGTTGCCATATTTCGATTCATTAATGATGATGGAAGATGGGCGAAAAGAGTATCCCAGCCATGCACTTTAGTAAGGGTTTCAAGAGAAATGAGCCTTCTTTTTTATGCACTCTTCGATTAGAGGAGATCGAATAGGCAACTGGTCCTATTCCAAAACTATAAAAGGCTTATTCGAAAATTAGAGGATATCATACCGAACGAATTACCAAAGAAATTACCACCAAGAAGGACGATTGATTATGAAATTGAACTTATTCCAGGTGCCAAACCTCCTACTAGAGCACCATACCATATGTTTTAGCCTGAGCTTGAAGTGTTTAGGAAGCAATTAGGAGAAATGCTGGAGAGTGGAATTATTGTGACTGCGAAGTCACCATACGGAGCTCTTGTGTTGTTTCAGAAAAAGGCCAATGGTTCTCTTAGAACGTGCTGTGACTCTCGAGCCTTGAACAAGATCACTGTAAAGAATAGCTATCATATCTCGCTGTTGTAGATTGCTTCGATCGACTGAGTCGGGCGAAGTATTACACAAAAAATTGATCTTATGTCCGAATACTGGCAAGTTCGGATTAAGGAGGGAAATGAAGCAAAAACTACAGTTGTAACCAGATATGGAGCCTTTGAATTTAAAGTGATGCCTTTTGGTTTGACAAATGCTCCAGCAACGTTTTGTACTATGATGAATCAAGTACTTCACGGGTTCTTAGATGATTTTGTCATGATGTACTTGGACGACATAGTAATCTACAACGAGACATTGGAGGAACATGTGCAACATATGAGGCAAGTTTTTAATCGTCTACGGGAAAATGAACTCTATACCAAACAGGCTAAATGCTCATTTGCTCAGACATCTATCAGTTTCTTGGGTCACATCATTGGACAGAGTAAAATCCACATGGATTCGAAGAATGTTACAACCATCAAAGATTGGCAACCACCAAAAATCGTACATGATGTACGTTTATTTCTCGAGTTATGCAATTACTATCGAAGATTTGTGAAAGGTTACTTAGAAATTACACTGCCACTTATTGAATTGACAAAGAAAGATAAGGATTGAGATTAGTCGTCCCAATGCCAAATTGTTTTTGAAAGGTTAAAGAAGTCCATGTGGACGAACCCGATTTTAGCCTTATCAGATATGACTAAACCATTCGAAATTCATACAAATGTTTCAGATTTTGCACTTTGTGGAGTCCTTATGCAAGAAGAACATTCGGTAGTATATGGGAACCAGAAGTTAAACCAAATAGAAGGTCGTTACTCGGCGCATGAAAATGAATTGTTGGCAGTAGTCCATTGTCTTAGGGGATGGCGTCACTATTTTCTTGGGTCTCCATTTATTGTGAGGACAAATAACACTGCGGTTAGTCATTTCATGTCCCAACCATAACTATCGAGCAAGCAAGTTTGATGGCAGGAATTTCTTTCAGAGTTCAATTTTATGCTAGAATATCGTCCCGGATCCAGTAATCATGTTACGGATGCTCTTAGTCGACGGGCCGATTTGACTGCTATTTGCTCCGTGGATGCTCTTTCAGGGAGTGCCGTCACCACGAATACAAGAGACTAAATTCGAGCACCCGGCTACTCAATATTTGATCGACCTCATCAAGCAGGGTAAGACTCTACGGTTCTGGCTCGATGGGGAACTAGTGAAGACTAAGGGAGACCGCCTATATGTTTCTAAGGGCGAAGATTTGAGAAAATCACTAATTACGGAATGCCACGACACGATCTGCGCAGGGCATCCCGAAAAGGAACACACTTGTGCACTACTGCAACGTGCATACTACTGGCCTCAAATGCAGGAGGACATTGCAACTTATGTAAAAATCCGTTTTATTTGTAAGCAAGATAAAGCAAATCATCAGAAAAAGAAAGGCTTACTAGAGCCCCTTTCTGTCCTAACTTGGTCATTCGAAAGTGTATCGATGGACTACATTATTGGGTTGTCAAAAGTTGAGAATTTTGACACTATCATCATCGTGGTGGACCGTCTATCAAAGTATGCAACTTTCCTCACAGCGCCTATGTATCAGGGAAAGAAACAGCTTAACTCTTTTTTCAAATATATTGTCAAATACTGGGGACTGTCTAAGGACATCGTCAGTGATCGAGTTCTTCGTTTCATTGGTATATTTTGAATTGAGTTGTTCAAACTTCTTGGTTCAACTTTGAGCATGAGTTCTATTGGAGCGTGCCTACGTTAGACGAAAGAAATGAAGAAAAAATTCAACCTTTTATGAATTGGAAAAAAAATGTCTAAGCATAAAGCAAAACATTTTGTTTGAGCTTCTAGCCTAGACACTGTCTAGACGAACTTTTTAAAACAGTGATGAAATCTCATCACGTTGTCTATTAGCAAATAAATAAATTGTTGACTCAAAAATTATATTGTGAAGTCCAATGAGTGCCGAATTTATTAATCCTGAAACAATAAACTCGAGTCTCAACGAGGAATTAGTGGCTGTTGGCCGGTTGACCCGGCCAATTTTTCAAACTGGCCTTTGACCAACGAAAAAAAAAAAAAGGCAAAATTATAAAAAACCGTGAAAACCAAAAAAAAAAAGAAGAGATTTCCAATTTTACCCTCACTTGAAAACGAAGCAAAGCCGAAGGAGACGGGAAAATACTGTAGCACAGTCGACCCAGACACCGACAAATAAGGAAAAACAGGATACCCACTTGGCCAAAATCCCTCTGAAGAAGGTAAGAAATTTATACCAAAAAAAACCATGTTTATATTTTTATTTTTGGAAAAAAGTATGATTTTCTACATATTTTTTGAGAAATTCATGTGTAAATGTGGAATTTTGGCAACATATTACTTGGGAAGGAGTGGAGATCGTCGGAAATGGAGTTTTCCGGCGATCGGACATCAAAAATGCCGTAAAGGGCGACTGGGCGCCGTCTGGGCGCGCCCAGTCGCCCCCGACGCCCAGACGGCCTGGGCCGTCTGGGCGTCTGCCCAGTCAACTGGGCAACCCAGTTGACTGGGCCACCTGGGCACTACT